CTATAGGCTACATGTATTTCTATCTTTAACTGTAAGCTGTCAACAAATCTGTAACGGACGATTAATAAAATCGTAAATTTTTCATTTTTGCTATATGTATCTCCAGGCTGGAACTAAATGTCTATATAATTCTTATAGATATAGACGAAAATGGGTCAAAAAACACATTTTAATAAACTGATTTACATTCGTTGTATTGTAACTTCTGTAATCACTTTAGTTTGCCGAAACATGTGTTTGAAGTAGGGGAGAGCGGGGCACAGTAAGCCAGGCTTTGTAATTTTTAACTGTGTTGGGAAAATTCAATTGTGACACCACTGTGGAATTCCCCTTTATAGTCCCCATTTGTCCTCCTAAATTCAATAAATTCATGTAAGCTGATTAATATATATCAGCCATCAGCAATATATCACATGCCTTCCTGCCATTTTCGATTTTTAGTTGTGGTTGATGATGGGGCACAGTGGGACACATGTCAGTGGGGCACACTGAGTATAAGCATTTCGAGTTTAACCGAATATCATTTGTCCATTTTAGACAGAATCTGGATATTTGAGCTGTTTTTAAGGAAATATTGGTCCTAGGTTACGAATCCTTTATACTGACTTACAAATCATAGGAATTGTTTGCTAAAAGATTTTTTTTTTCTCCAGTTAAAGAATTTTTTATTCAATGTTAAGCTGTTTTTTTTTTATATTTTCCTGCTACGTATCTGTGTTCAAGTCTTAAAATAGTTAAAACAAATTCATATTTTGAACTAAAAGATTACTTTTCACAGTTCTGATGAGTTTCAGTGTGTTTATTATACATTTTTAAAAAAAACCAAAACATATCGATAGCCAATTGTGTCCGATAGTGTGACAGTCTGACAGAGTGTACCCCACATACGGGGCACATTGATTTAAAAAAATTTGGTTTTTACAATGATCTAGAATTTGTTTGGTTTTTATAAAGTTCTGCCCCTTGCTAACGTTTAGTAGGCCTACCGTATACAAAACTTTTAACATCATGGATTTAGCTGTTCAAGTCATAAAGGTTCATTGAAAATCAATATACTTGTTCGTCTCTAATTAAACTCTGTGTATCAATCTGATAAGTCAATTGGAGCGTCACAAGATCAAGGTCCATAACTTTGGTAGTAAATATCCAAAATCGTTGAAAATCAATATGATTCTTCATCTCATGGCCTCAAACACTGTGTATAAATTTAAAGTCAATCGGATATTAACTTTAGCCTCTAAAGCATCCACAAGATTTTTCAAAGTGATCAAGGGCCATAACTCTGGCACTAATTATTGGAAATCGCTGAAAATCAATAGGCTTCTTTGTCCCATGACCTTAAATACGGTGTATAAATTTAAAGTCAATCGGATATTAACTTTAGCCTCTAGAGCGTCCACAAGATTTTTCAAAGTGATGAAGGGCCATAACCCTGGCAGTAATTATCCGAAATCCTTTGTCTCATGATGACCTTAAACACTGTGTATAAATTTCAAGTCAATCGGATATAAACTTTAGCCTCTAGAGCGTCCACAAGATTTTTCAAAATGATCAAGGGCCATAACTCTTGCAGTAAGTATCGGAAATCGCTGAAAATCAATAAGCTTCTTCGTCTCATGACCTTAAATTTCAAGTCAATCGGATATTAACTTTAGCCTCTAGAGCATCCACAAGATTTTTCAAAGTGATCAAGGGCCATAACTCTGGCAGTAATTATCAGACATCGCTGAAAATCAATAGGCTTCTTTGTCTCATGACCTTAAATTTAAAGTCAATCAGATATTAACTTTAGCCTCTAGAGCGTCCACAAGATTTTTCAAAGTGATCAAGGGCCATAACTCTGGCAGTAATTATTGGAAATTGCTGAAAATCAATAATGACCTTAAACACTGTGTATAAATTTAAAGTCAATCAGATATTAACTTTAGCCTCTAGAGCGTCCACAAGATTTTTCAAAGTGATCAAGGGCCATAACTCTGGCAGTAATTATCGGAAATCGCTGAAAATCAATAGGCTTCTTCAGCTCAAGCAATTGTGGACGCCGGACGGACGACGGGGGCGACAACAATATAAGACCACATTTCAATGTGGGCGTATAAAAACATGTTATTCTTCCACCTAATATTTAATTGTACGCAAGAAAGATGCTTCTCTACGATTCTGCGTAGATTATAGAAAACTTAATTCGAAAACTGTTAGTGATTCTTATGCTCTTTCTAGTATAGACAAAATTTTGGATTCTTTTATGGATCAAAATATTTTTCATAGTTAGATTTAAAAAGTGGATATTGGCAATTTGAAATGGCAGAAGAGGATAAATGTAAAACCGCTTTCACTACAGGTAGTCTTGGCTTTTGGAAGTTCAATTTTCCCGGCTGAGGAAGCACAATCAGAAATTAAAGCCTCCAAAATGTGAATTTCTTCAGTCATCAATAAAATATTTAGGACGTATCAGTTCTAAAGATGGTATTAAAGCTGACTCTGATAAAATTTCTACCCTTACAACCTGGTCGATTCCTACATCTGTTTCTGAAGTACGTAGTTTTCTGGGATTTTGTGGATGTTTCAGACCCTTCAAGGATTATATGCTAAGATTACTCGACCTTTAACTGACCTTCTTATTGGCGATCAGCCTAAAAACACAGAAAATCTACTTGTAGTTCATTTTATTGGTGTGCAAATCAACAACAGTTTTTTTGATAATCTTATTTCTCATTTAACTTCTCATATTTTGGCTTTCGATGATTTTATTCATCCTTTTATACTAGAAACAGATGCTATAAGTTCTCGTGGTTGGAGTAGCCTAGTTTCATCCGATTCTTCTGTTCTGTTTGTGTTACTAACGTGTTACCTGATATTTTTGTTCTGGATATTACTGTTCCTGATATTACTGTTACTGAATTACTCAATTCGATCCTAATATTTCCTTGGATAATATTACACAACCAGTCCCAGCTTAACCAAATGCTTGGATGCAATCTGGTGTTTGGGTTTTAGAGAATACTGTTTGGATTTGATTTTCATTGGTTGGATATCTATTTTTAAAACAATTTTTTATTTCTGTATTATTTGTTAGGTTAAAAATTGTATTATTAGTTGCTCAAATTTTTACTCGATGATGACTTGCCTTTATTTATGGATTATGATTTTGGTTATGTAAAAGAAATGAAATGGGGTTTGACCTTCTACTGTTCTGCTCCGAACTGGGCTAATGAGAGAGAGAGGAGAGAGAGAGAGAGAGATATGAGGTTAAAGTCCACTCAACACAAACTAGGTCATTTTGGGACTAACATTTGGTTCAATTTTATTTTAATAATTTGCTTGCACGTAGGAATCTTTAGCAGTGGGAGGAAACTGTAGAACCCAGAGAAAACCCCATAGGTTGAACAAGCGGTGCTACTCCTTGTCACATACAACCGGGGAATCGAAACCTCGCCAGTTGACTCAATGACAGACATTATGATACATCACACACTTGCTAACCATTCGGCCATCCATCCCCACCCCCTCCCCTTGGGCCAATGAAGATGGGCATATGCAATACAGTGTGCTATAAGGGAAATTTTGCCTGGACAGCGGCATTATGGCCTACTCTTATATCAAATTCCAACTGTCAAGGGATCTTTTACGTGCATGCCAATGTGTACACAGTACCTCGGTTTTTCGTCCTTGTCCTGCCCTCCGTCCTGCATCACTGACATTTTGGTTATGTGGATTGATTTATTATTTTTGTGGTATATATATGTCTGTGTTACAGGTGGTAAAATAGAAAGTATTTTACAATTTTGTGTATATTAATTTTTAATGTTTTTAGTATTGCACCTTTAAACCCCCCACTTCAACCTTCTAAACTTCATCAGTGAATTTCTTTAAAGCTGTTGTTGCTTTAACCCAAGTGAGTACTTTTAACTCAGTTTCATTGTTTCTTGGTCATGTGATGTATTTGTTGGTAGATACATTCAGTTGTTAAGCATCTTTCTTTCAAAGAGGAAGTTTAGCAAAGTCATTTGTAGATTTAGTTTTGAGGATTGATTTCCTTGGAGTTTTGGTGAAGAGTTGTAGTCATTTACCAGGTATGTTGTTGCATTATGTTTAACTGATTATAAAAGCTGTATCTTTAACTCTCTAGCTTTATATTTTTATACTGAAGTTGTTAGTTTTTATGGGTAAAGTTAATAAAGTTTATTTGCATACATACATTCACACATTATAAATATATATCCCATCCTATTTCAGGATGTTAGGTTGTATAGATAAACTAATTGAGAATTTAAAACTCCACTTCAGGTAAGTTTAGAGTGTAGAAAGATACATTATGTAAGATTTAGATAAAGAGCTGGCCATTCTTGCTATAATAGTTCGAAAATAGATAATGTAAAATGAATAATTTGAAAATTTCATTCCAATTACTCTGTTGCGAGCGAAGATATTAGCCTTTGAAGGTTTGACAAGACGTGTGCAATAATTGCAACCATAGTACTGGTTGTTCGAAGCTAAGTTTCGCTCCTCCATTTTTAAATTAAATTTAAATATATAATTCAGATGCCATTGAGAGTTGATTATGACCTGGATCAGTTAATTTCAAATTATTCATTAGAGCGGCGTCAATCATTGGCTCAATGGCGCGTGCATTGTTTACATAAGACCTTACTCGGTCGAGCAGAATGGAGTCTTTTACTTATTTTAATGATGGAGGAAAAAAGTTAATATTTGTGGCTCATTATGTCGCATCAATGTCATCCTTATCAGTGATTGTAGCGGCCTAGTGAATATTCACTTCTGATCAGTGTGGCATAATATATGTTTATTAAAGTACTGGTACCATGTTTACTATTTGCTTGAAACAGTTATTCACTTTGTAGCTGAGATTTATTTCTATGCTATTATAGCAATTGTTTTAGTTAAGGTGTTTGTATTTTGATCTTGCCTTTTGTTTTGTAAAACTTATATTATATTGAATTATGTATTTGCAGGGTTTTTATTGCTTGCCTGGTTTATATGATAAAGTATTGAACCCGTTCTGGATTGTTTCTTATAACAACCCCTCTACAACATTGGAGCCTGATTAAGTTTGCTGAAGAGAACATCAGTCGGAGTCAACCAGCTTATGGTAGAAATTCGTCTTCAGCGAAGGGATCAATCAACTTAAAAAGTGAATTGTGTGTGCGTGTGCGAACTTTTTAATCTACAAAGATAGCTATCTGTGAAGATGTTTGGGGTAGGCCTAGTATATTTTAATTAAGTTTAGAGATATTCTGTAATTAAGTTATTTTAATTATTTAAGGTTGATTATCTCCCTTTAGTCTTCAAATCATTTCAGATTTTTGTACTTTAAGTTGTCCCCCTTTAGTCTTCACAGCACTGACTTTAATTGGAAACATTTTTGTTTTCTTTTATTAATTCAAGCCCATCTTCCTACCCCACCCTACCCTACCCTACCCTGCCACTACACCAACCCCTATTTTTATACACCCACATTTTCATGTAGACATATATTGTTGTCGCCCCTGTCCATCCGTCCACAATTGTTTGTGAACACTCTACAGGTCACAGTTTTTATCAGATTTCAATGAAACTTGAAATATAGGTTTATCACTTTAAGATCCTCGGTTCCTTTGATATTGGCATGTATCGGACTATAGCTTCATGGATTATGGCCCCTGATTGTTCGAAAACTCGTGTTTGTTTTTAGCTTGTTCTCTATCCATCTCTTGCAAAATGTGGGCGTATACCTGGCAGCTGCTGGTTATTCATTTATTTATTTCTTCATTTAATATAATCAGCAATTCAGATTATTTATATATTTTTTTTAATAATAGATTATGAGATTGTCTTGTTTTTACTTTCATAGCTTAAGTTGAGATTTTAAATAATAGGTTTATAAAAAAAAATTCTTTGTATTATTTTACTATTATAGGACTAATAGCCTATTTATAGCAGAGATATTTAGGTGGTTTTCAGTAAAACCTTACATAACAATATACATTTTACAGCTGGTATTTACCTTGATCATATACACTTACACATATTGACCCAGGTTGATTGGTTTGAAAGTTGGTATATTTTAGTGTTTGTTTATAGGTTAGACTGGACTTTGAAAGTTTATGGTTGGATTTTGAAATTTTATGGTTCAGGTATTTCGGATACTTTGATTGGTATGTTAAGTAGTTTGTCGACTTTAAATTTGTTTGTTTGGTATTTGGGTTTTGAGTTTGTTCATTACTATAAATAGAATTCATTTTCTTTTAGGAAAGTTCATTTTCATTTTCAGGTTTAGCTTTATTCTGAAATTAGGTCAACATATAAACTGTTTTCATGATTTATCACTGCACTCACATTTCACGATTTAATGTTGACATAATACAGTATATGGGTGAATATATGTTCTATTTCAGCATTTGTATTTATAATGTAATTGATACAGTACCGAAATATTATTATTTCTATTTCAGCATTTGTATTTATAATGTAATTGATACAGTACCGAAATATTATTATTTCTATTTCAGCATTTGTATTTATAATGTAATTGATACAGCACCGAAATATTATTTATTCTATTTCAGCATTTGCGTCTAGAATAGTTACATATATATGTTTATGCTTATATGATACAAACTTTATTATATGTTGGGTTATTGAATCCGTCCTTTTGTCAATCATTTTGCATCTGGAATAGTTACATCTTATTTGATACAAACTTTATTATATGTTGGGTTATCTAATCCACCCGTTCGTCAATCATTCATTTTGTTGATTTGTGCCAGATCTACAATTTTTTTTTACAGTTACATATATATGTTTATGCTTATATGATACAAACTTTATTATAATTTATTATAAATTCTAATTTTTGCCAGATCTATATTTTTTTTACAGAAATATTTGAATGATACATATACGCTTGTTAGCATTAATTCATTTATTCATTGTTTTGTTTGTCTTTTGTGCTATAATGGTGACGGGTGGTAGCAGATCAGAGTTTTCCTCAGATGAGAAACATTTGTTAGACATGTTCTCTACTTTAGATGTAAAACTGAAGCTCGAGTCATCTGAGGATTTTATAGAATGGATGTTTGATTATTTGAAATCTCAGGGTAGAATTCCACCAATGGATGAAAGTTTTGGGATAGCAGATCACTCAGCACAGCAAGATGATAGAACAGAACATCAGGCTTAGGTTGAACAAGAGCAACCCACACAAACAACAGATAAATTTATACCGCAGTTGCCAAGAATATCAACATTCTCCGATGATCCTGGTTGTAAAGGAGATACTTCATTCGACTTGTGGAAGTTTGAGGTTTTAAGTCTTATGAAAGACGGCTTACATAGTAAGGATTCTGTGAAATTATCTGTTTTAAAGTCGTTACTTGGAGAAGCTGCAAGGGTAGCTATGAGAATGGGCCAAGATGTTATTGTTGATAAGCTTTTAGTGAAACTGCAAAGCAGATTTGGTATTGCGGAACAAGGGCAGAGTCTTTTGTCGCAGTTTTATTCCACCACTCAAGCTCCTGACGAGACAGTATCAAAGTGGGCTTGCCGGTTAGAGGACTTACTCGACAAAGCAAACTTAGGACAAAGTTTTGGAGTGAATTGAGGAATGACTTAAAGGATAAGTCAGCTCATAAGATTGATCGTTTGACAAACTTTGAAGATTTTCTCAAAGAAGTTAGGATTGAGTGTGACTGTATGCCTTTGATAGGATAAGATGGCTCAACTGGTACAAGATGAGGAGATGAAAGGTATGCTCACATCATTGACTTCAAGTGTCCAAGTTCTACAGAAAAAAGTGGGGTGATTAAAGCTGATAAAAATCAAGGTAGTCCTCAATCACCTGGATAGATCACGAGTTGCTTTAACATGTTATCGTTGCGGTCAAGTAGGGTATGTAGCTCTTTGGTGCAGGATGCCACTGCCGCAAAAGGATCAACGTAATTTAAACCATTAAATGTCACTGATGAGGGACAAATCAGTAAACATTCTTTTATCTAGTCCCATGAATATTATAGGTAGTAGTAATGAGACAGCTATTTTAGTAAATGGTGATTCTGGTCTGGTTCTACAGTTTCGACAGTCAATGAATCATTTTATAAAGATGTTTTACACAGTGAGGAGTGTAATATTTTACTGTTGGAGCAGATGATACATATAGAAATTACCGTATCTTGGATATGGATGTATTTCACTTGGGATACCTATTTTTAAGTGTACTGAGGTGCTTTGTTTATTTTTAGTGGTACCAGACTAAGTGGTGTTAACTTAACCCCATTTGGATTTATAAGTTAATTTCGTTCTTTTATTATTTCAGTGCTCTTCTTTAATTTTCTTTGTTTGATCCTGTTTTTGTGTATTGTAAACTGTTGTCTGGTGTTCCTGTTGTCTCTTTATGGTTGAACTCATGACTCGGAAAGGTGGAAGTCTGTCTGCTGTTTAAAGGTACGTGTTACTATTAGTTTTAAATATATATTACATTGTGTAAATGGTTTTAGTTTAAAATGGCAAGCCATGTTAGTTTCTAAGAAATTTATAATTTAAAGTCAAGTTAATTTATGCTTTACATTATATACATGATTCAACTATTTTTGAGCCATTGCTTTGCCACTTGGCAGAAACAATCGCCAAATATTAGAATTTCAAAACAGTTTAAATTTTTAGAATCAGACTTATACTTTTTTAAATATTCAATTTTCACTAAAAAAAGAAATTTCAGTCCGAAATCGAAATCTGGTCCAAAAAATGGTATTTGATTCCAGTGCTGGACAAAATAGTGTAAAAATATGGTATATTAAGTTTGTGGACCCTCTATGCTACTTGAGCATATCTGACTGTAACTTCCTTTTTTTGTCACCTGCCTTACGAATCACGTGGCTAAGTGGGTAAGACGCTGGCTCGCTAGCCTGGAGGTCGGGTGTTCGATTCCTGCATTGGCCGAGAAAGTTCATCCAGATTTTCCGACGTGGTTTCCCCTTGTCAGTGATGCAGGTCAGAGGGCCTGACAAGGACAGCTGTCTAGTCCTTCGGATGAGATGAAAAAAAGAGGTCCCGTGTATATATTGGAATGCACGTAAAAGATACCCTGGCAGTTGAAATTCGATATAAGAGAAGGCGATAGTGCTGCTGCCCGGGCAAAATTTCCCTCATAGCACACTGTATGGCGTATGCCCGTCTTCATTAGCCCAGTATAGGAGCAGAACAGTAGGACGTTAAACCCCATTTCATTTTCATTTCATTTACGAAGAAAGCAGGGGACTACTAAAATGGGTGGGTCCATCCGTCAGTCACACTTTTTGGACACCAAAACCTAATTGAGCTAGAATGTTCAAACTTGGTCTAGGTATTTATTAGGTTAATACTTTAATGTAATTCGAAGATGAGCATTTTCTTTTTAGGGTAAGCAGAGATAAGAAATATGATTGATGCTTTGGGACACGATAACTTTAGTTCTAATTAGGTGACAGTGATGACAATTGGTGTATAGTTTCATTACATCAAGGGGGGTTGGATTGCTGAATGGTTAGCGTGCGCGCGCTGTATCATAGTCTGTCATTGAGTCGACTGGCATGGTTTTGAATCCCCGGTTGTACGTGACAAGGAGTAGGGTCGCCTGTCCAACCTCGTGGGTTTTCTCCGAGTCCTCCGGTTTCCTCCCACTGCTAAAGACCCCTATGCGCAAGCGAATTATTGAAATAAAATTAAACCATATGTTAGTCCTGAAATGACCTAGTTGTGTCGAGTGGACGTTAAACCCCATTTCTCTCTCTCATTACATCAATACCATGACTAAGTTCGATGGTGGAAATTTTCTGTTGAAGGTAAGCAGAGTGAAAAACAATAATATTGGTTGAGACTTCGGAATACAATAATTCTCCTTCTAATTGAGGTAGAATGTTCAAAGTTGGTGTAGGCCTTCATAAGGTGAATGCCTTGTCTGCTTACGGTTATAATTAAGAGAGAGCGATGAAACTCTTAATATAGATTCATTATATCATTACCTTGACTAAGTTCGATGATGAGAATTTTCTGCTTAGGTTAAGGAGCGATAAGCAATTTGATTGGTCAAGAATTTGTAACATAACTCTGTTTTTATTGATGTAGAATGTTTAAACTTGATGTAGATGTTCATTAGGTGAATGTCTTGACTGAGTTCAATGATTAACATTTCTCGCTAGAGCTAAGCAATTTCTTTGACATTGATTCTATGTGATAGAGAGTGAAAATTAGTTTAAAGTTGATAGTGAGTTTGATTGCTCAAAACTTTTGAAAAAGATAAATGTGCAATTAATCGACATGTGTCATCAGCTATTCTTTCCGGGATTTCGGCGGGGGACATCTGCCTCACTGTTGGCTTGTTTGAGCCCGTTTTCTGTCCTTCTCTTGCCAAATGTGGGCGTATCTTGCATGGTAACCGCTTGTTTTGTTTGTCATTGCACATGTACTAATTGCCATTGACTACCTAAGTTTGTTTTTCAGGACCCAGGTTGGGGGATGCAGCATGGTAGACACAGATGGAAGAGGATGCAGGCAAGGCAGTATGGTGATCTGTTTGGCTTAAAAAAGGAGAGTACAGTTTTTCAGATTATATTTCTTGAGGGTGGTGGCAGGCTACAGACTGGGCGGCCCTCTATTCTGTGGAAAAGACTAGCTGAACAGTCCAGTTCAGTTCCATTTAATTCAGTGGGGATTAAGTTAATTTGGCTTTAAAACTTTTTTAGGCCCACATTTTCATGTGGACGTATATTGTCGTCGCCCCTGTCGATCCACGTATCTGTTAACATTTTGTTTGTGGACACTCTACAGGTCACAATTTTTCTCTAATTTTGCGCATATCGGTCCGTAACTTCCTGGAAATTCTAGATTTGCAATAACAGGTTAAATCTATGAACTATGTATGTTTTCTAAATTCTTCATTGGTCCATCTAACAGGTACAGTAAAGGACATTCTGTTGACAAGTTAAAAACACATTTTAAAATAGGGGTCCTTGGAAACATTGACCTTTAGTGGGAATTTGGTGTAAAGCTACTTGAGGAATCAAGTCCACTTATGTTTAGGCTAGATAGATTAACATGTCATAACTTCAATATAAACCCATATAAACAGATGTTTATCTCTATCAAGAGAAAACACAACACAAACATTAATTTCCGTAGTCCACATATAACATTGTTTTCTTCTCGCTACTAGTGGAACAGATTTCAGCAGTTCTGGGTTCTGTTATATTCTGGAGATAAGAATTCTTGTAGGTTGGGAAAGGTTCTTTGTATTGTTTGGAGACCAGAATTCTTGTAGGTTTCAGGATGAAATGCTGAGACAGCTAGTCCTCATACATAAACAGTTTCTTCTCTAATCCACATACACAACATAAACAATCTGAATTTCTTGTAGTCTGGTGGCTTCTAGCTAGACAGTTTCTATGTTATTATCTGGAGATTAGAATTGGTTGTAATGGTTGTAGGCTGCAGACTTAACCATTACGTCTTAGAACAATTACACAAACACATCCATAACTATTTGGAACTTCTGTGATCAACAATTACAGAGGTGAACTCAAGGTTTATGACATTGTTAATCTAACAGGATTGTGGCTGATTTACATCTGAGATATACTAGAGACTTCTGTCTCGCTTCTATTGAGTTTTCTGGTGTGCACACCTCATTCATTGCTCCTCGACGAGGCCAGTTATCTTTGATGACTTGTGGTTGGCCACCCAGTTATCTCTGATGACTGGTAGTTGGCAATCTGTGTTAGGCTATGGGCTTATGATACAGAACAGAAGATCCACACATTAGGCGATAATATATAAGCAGTCTGCTCCATTTCTCTAGAACATAACATTTTGTGTTGTTTCATCATGTAGTTTAAACCAAAGTCTTCATTGAAAGTCTATCAAATCACTTTATGTAAATAAATGTGTGTCCTAGATCTGTTAGCACATGTTTCTTTGCTGTAACATTTTGATTAAATTATTGATGGGGTTCTTTTGCAATTTGGATTTAACTATTGTTATATCTCTGTATATTGTCAACGGTCATTAATTCATTTTTTTTAATCTTGTTATTGCCAAAATAGTATTTTTCTAATGAAGTTGTCTACAGATGTCTGTTAATTGGTTATATATATATTATATGCATGATTTTGTAAAGCGAGATGTACTTATACACGAACAATTCCTTGAGCGTGGTGTCAGTCTGTAGCCTGGCAACTCTAAATTCGAGGGATAATTAAACCAGCTGAACAGTCCAGTTCCGTTCAGTGGGGATGAAGTTAATTTGGCTTTCAATCCATTGAAGATATGTACTAATTGCTTACGGCCACATAAGTTTGTTTTTAAGGACTCGGGTTGGTGGATGCAGAATGGTGGACACAGATGGAAGAGGATGCAGGCAAGGCAGTTCAGTTCCATTTAGTTCAGTGGGGAATTAAGGTAATTTGGCCTTAAATTTATTATTATTTTCTTTTTGTTTTTCGTTGCACATTAGAGTACAGTTTTTCTGTTTGATTTTGTCTTGAGGGGGATACCAGCTGTACAGTCCAGTTCATTTCAGTGGGAATAAAGTAAATTTGGCTTTCTTGGAAGATGTTATTATTGCGCATAAACTAATTGCTCACTCCCCGCTTAGATTGTTTTTCAGCACGCCCATATTAAACATTATTTAGTTTTATTTATACGCTGATATATTATGCATGTCAATTGTCATGCTACAGGCTTAACTTTTGACAATTTCCTAATCTTGGAACATTGACCTTTATGGAAATTTAAATAGAGTCAAAATTATTTCGAAATTTGATATACCAACATGATGTGATGATGATGGATTAGATGATTCATGCCGTCGGTCAGTCATGCTACAGACCAAACTTCAAAAGTTTTCTATTTTAATAAACTTGGCTTAGATCAATCATGCCCGTTGTTCCGTCGTCATGTTACAGGTCGAACTTGTAAATTTTTTTAACCATAAGCCATAATGGGAATTTGAATGGGGTCATTATTTCGAAATATAAGTATACCAACAAGATGTGATGGTGGGAGGAATAAATGATTCATGCCCGTCGGTCCGTCATGCTACAGGTCAATCTTCTAAATTTTCTATTTTATTAAACTTGGAACAAACCTTTATGGGAAACTAAATGGTGGACACAGATGGAGGAGGATGCAGGCAAGGCAGAATGGTGGACACAGATGGAAGAGGATGCAGGCAAGGCAGTATGGTGGTGATATGTTTAAACATTTGGAACAAAGGGGAGTACAGTTTTTTTGATTGATTTTTTGAGGGTAGTGGCAGGCTGCAGACCGAGTTGCTCTCAATACTGGGCGATAAGACTAGCTGAACAGTCCAGTTCAGTTCCATTTAGTTCAGTAGGGATTAAGTTAATTTGGCTTTTTGTTGTTTGTCATTGCACATACACTAATTGCTTTCGGCTACCTAAGTTTGTTTTTCAGGAACCAGGTTGGCGGATGCAAAATAGTGTACACAGATGAAAGAGGATGCAGGCAAGGCAAGGCAGAATGGTGGATGCAGGCAAGGCAGTATGGTGGTGATCTGTTTGAACATTTGGAACAAAAGGAGAGTACAGTTTTTTTGATTGATTTTTTGAGGGTAGTGGCAGGCTGCAGACCGAGTTGCTCTCAATACTTGGGAATAAGACTAGCTGAACAGTCCAGTTCAGTTCCATTTAGTTCACTAGGGATCAAGTTAATTTGGCTTTTTTTTTGTTTGTCATTGCACATGTACTAATTGCTTTCGGCCACCTAAGTTTGTTTTTCAGGAACCAGGTTGGCCGATGCAAAATGGTGGACACAGATGGAAGAGGATGCAGGCAACGTAAGGCAGTATGGTGGTGATCTGTTTGAACGATTTGGAGTAAAAGGAGATTACAGTTTCTTTGATTTTTTTGGGAGGTAGTGGCAGGCTGCAGACCGAGTTGCTCTAAATACTTGGGGATAAGACTAGCTGAACAGTCCAGTTCAGTTCCATTTAGTTCAGTACGGATTAAGTTAATTTGACTTTTTTTTTTGTTTCTCATTGTACATATACTAATTGCTTTAGGCAACCTAAGTTTGTTTTTCAGGAACCAGGTTGGCGGATGCAGAATGGTGGACACAGATGGAAGAAGATACAGGCAAGGCAAGACAGAATGGTGGACACGGATGGAAGAGGATGCAGGCAAGGCAAGGCAGAATGGTGGAAACAGATGGAAGAGGATGCAGGCAATGCAAGGCAGTATGGTGGTGATCTGTTTGAACGATTTGGAATAAAAGGAGAGTACAGTTTTTATGATTGATTTTTTTGAGGGTAGTGGCAGGCTGCAGACCGAGTTGCTCTCAATACTTGGGGATAAGACTAGCTGAACAGTCCAGTTCCATTTAGTTCAGTAGAGATTAAGTTAATCTGGCTTTTTTTTTGCTCGTTTGTCATTGCATATGTACTAATTGCTTCGGCCACCTAAGTTTGTTTTTCAGGAACCAGGTTGGCGGATGCAGAATGGTGGACACAGATGGAAGAGGATGCAGGCAAGGCAGAATGGTGGACACAGATGGAAGAGGATGCAGGCAAGGCAGTATGGTGGTGATCTGTTTGAACATTTGGAACAAAAGGAGAGTACAGTTTTTTTGATTGATTTTTTTAGGGTAGTGGCAGGCTGCAGACCGAGTTGCTCTCAATACTTGGAGATAAGACTAGCTGAACAGTTCAGTTCCATTTAGTTCAGTAGGGATTAAGTTAATTTGGCTTTTTTTTGTTTGTCATTGCACATGTACTAATTGCTTTCGGCCACCTAAGTTTGTTTTTCAGGAACCAGGTTGGCGGATGCAAAATGGTGGACACAGATGGAAGAGGATGCAGGCAACGTAAGGCAGTATGGTGGTGATCTGTTTGAACGATTTGGAGTAAAAGGAGATTACAGTTTCTTTGATTGATATTTTTGGAGGTAGTGGCAGGCTTCAGACCGAGTTGCTCTCAATACTGGGGGATAAGACTAGCTGAACAGTCCAGTTCAGTTCCATTTAGTTCAATAGGGATTAAGTTAATTTGGCTTTGATTTTGTTTGTCATTGCACATATACTAATTGCTTTCGGCAACCTAAGTTTGTTTTTCAGGAACCAGGTTGGCGGATGCAGAATGGTGGACACAGATGGAAGAAGATGCAGGCAAGGCAAGACAGAATGGTGGACACAGATGGAAGAGGATGCAGGCAAGGCAAGGCAGAATGGTGGAAACAGATGGAAGAGGATGCAGGCAATGCAAGGCAGTATGGTGGTGATCTGTTTGAACGATTTGGAATAAAAGGAGAGTACAGTTTTTATGATTGATTTTTTTGAGGGTAGTGGCAGGCTGCAGACCGAGTTGCTCTCAATACTTGGGGATAAGACTAGCTGAACAGTCCAGTTCCATTTAGTTCAGTAGAGATTAAGTTAATCTGGCTTTTTTTTTGCTCGTTTGTCATTGCATATGTACTAATTGCTTCGGCCACCTAAGTTTGTTTTTCAGGAACCAGGTTGGCGGATGCAGAATGATGGACACAGATGGAAGAGGATGCAGCCAAGGCAAGACAGAATGGTGG